GTCAAGGAAGATGGAAAGACTGTCTTTATCATCACAGACAAGTAAGTTATTTAGTTCAGGAGTAGAGAATTAGAAGAGAGCTCTGACATTGTTCAGTATTTAAGAGAAATGGTTAAGATAGGTTTCTGTGAAGGATGAAGACTCTGGAAGCAAAATATTGTTGGGATAAAGTCTATTTACTAAATGAAATCAAAATATTTTTTACAATGTGGAAGATGTTGACCATATTGACATTTTGTAAAAGTTGCATTATGATAATAGATCAATTATATTAAGAATAATATATTGACTGTTTTTTTTTTTTTTATGATTATTCAAGGGAAAATAGTTTTTCTTTATTATTTTCCTGTCCACAGACGAATCTTGCTGGCTAAGAGAGGTGAATTATTTGGCACCTGGGAGTCTGAATGGATGTTTACCTATCAGGAACTTAAAGGGGAGCCAAAAATTACCAACAAAGGCCTGGAAATCACTTTAAAGGTCAGTTGATGGTCATTCAATTTGTTCTAGAATTAAGTACATCTCTGAATTATTGAAATGCTTTGTTTTTGTAGGTGTATATGTCCAACTTGGCTTGTACATTTTCAGATGTTCCTTCAGAAAGATTATTATCTACTAACTTAAACCTCCATACAGGGGATAGCAGCATGTAGGGATTGAACTCAGTACCATTGAGATGACACTCTTAAAAGCATACCACCTGACCAACCAGCAAGTTATTTGAATATAGAGGCTCCAGAACCAATCATTTTACCTCTTTTTATATAGAAACATCTTCCATTAATATTTCCACATTTTAAGAACAAAAAGTGGCAGTACTACAGTGACACCTGCAACAAGCAAAGTGTGGCATTTATTCAAAGGGGATTATGATGGTTCACCTTAATAAAAGGAAGCTATATATGAAGAACTTCACAAACCAGATGAGAAAGCCATATTACTTGTGCTAAGATAGAGGAGGACTTTTTAAATTTTTAATTATCTTTGAGATGTTCTCACCAGCACTGTAATTAAAGAAGTCTATTTCCTAGTAGCCAAGTAAAAGTTGGCAATTTTCCTCAATTTGAAGTAATTAAAATTCACTAAACCCCACGATGACCTGCAAACTATTGAAAAAAAAAAAATAATAATAAAACTCTATGGCCATGTTACAAGTTTTGGGGGCTTGCAAAGACCTTCCTTCATGGAACTGTACCAGGAAAAAAAAAAGAAGCGGCAGACAGAGAAAGTGATGGGAAGACAACATAAAAGAATGGACGGGGCCTGTCATTGAAAGAGGTTTTATCCAAGGCAAAGAGAATGGAATCTAGTGTGGCACTCCAACGGTCCAACAGACTAAGGGATAGTTGAAGTTGAAAGCGAAACTTACTGCATACAAATCTTTCTGCATAAATAGCTTCTCTTTTGGTGAGACACACATAAAATCATGTACTCCATGAGCATGATACAATGTGGAAGAATACAAGCAGAAGAAATATTGATGCTAGACTGGTACGGAAATTTACAAATCTAAAAATAGCTTTGTGGTAAATATGAAACAGGTAGAAGTAGTACTAAATAGTAGTAGCTCAATTTAGATTACAATGAAAGATGAATTCTTATCTTTGTTTTGTCTTTATTAAGCCTTGTTACAAGTCTTTATTGTATATTATATAATGGTTTAGAAGACATTAAAAAAGCTTAAATAGACCCCTGCCAGACAACAGCTTTGTCTGCTTCAGATGTGACAATATACACTTTTTGCTCCTCTGATTGCTATTCAATGTTTTAATGTTTCTGTTGACTTTACAGACTGAAAAGAAAAAAATGTTTGGATCTAATGTGACAAAGAAAGATCTTCACACAGATCTCAAAGTGGCTCAGGTGCGTTGGTCTCTTTTACTTTTCCAATATGTTCTTTTGTCTATTTGTATTGAAATAAATAAATATGGTCACAAAGTAAAAATTCTTGCATGTGTTCCATAATTGTCTTAAGATCTAAGAATAAAGTAATCTATAGATTTTTTTTCCACTATGACTTCTTGTATCTCAAATTCTAGTTTTAGCTAACTTATTATGTATAACTGTGTCTGTTTTGACTTTTGATTATATATTAATTTAGTACCGGGGATGCAGATGTCCTCTAATTATCTACACTGCTAATTACAATGAGGTCCTGGGTTCAAATCTCTGTGAAAACTGTGATTTTGGGGATTTTGAGGGTACCCCCGAGTCCACTTAACTCTAATGTGTACCTGACTTTAGTTGGGGGAAAGTAAATTGGGGGTGGTTGTTGTGTTGACCACATGATACTCTTCACGTTTACTGTCAGCCATAGAAACAGATGACCTTAACATCATCTGCCCCATAGATGGCAAGGTCTGAAAGGGGGAAACTTTTTTCTTATAATGAAATGATTCTTTTTTCTCATATTCTCTAAACTGCTTTTCTTTCTAACTAGGCCCTAAGTAATTCTCTTGATTAAGATAGATCTGAAAGCATTGGTTAAAAAAGATGTATTTTGTGTGGCTATAAAGTGTAGTACTGATAAGTGTTATTCTTTGCTTCTGCAGCTGATCCTGAGTAAGATTCAGGAAGTTATGGCAATGGAGCGTGTTGAAAGTGGAGTGTAGTCGCACTAGATAACTGCTACGATCGGTGTATTACTATGCCCTGCATTCAACAGACAGACAAGGAAAAATAATTTAGGATTACTTTCAGACCGTTTATTTCCTACATTGATACATCTCTCTCTAGAGAAATAATAGAAGTAGAATCATTTTCTTTTTTTTTTTTATATTTTAAGCTTGACTTTTGAGAGGATTTCCATTAACTCTATTAATTCTATTCTATCACAAAGTGACTTTTGACCTTGACATTTCATGATAACTTCATTCCTCCTTTTGTGTGTGTGTGTGCATACAAGAGTTACCCTTCTTTGAAAATACTCTACTAGAAATGTGTGCTATGTTTGTTTACTTTTACTATGAATATTTTGATTTCGTACATTTTTTTTTAAAAAAGTAACTATACAATCCCTTATAGATTAATGTCTGTACTATACAATAAATTGATTTATTTTTGTAAAAATACATTTACCATTGTATAAAAAATAGTTTATAGTTGTTTTTTGCTTATCTCTAATTTAATTTCATTTTTTTTTTTTTGCTTTACTTCAATTTTTTTTCATTCTTTGTGTTAGTTTTGTTAGTAAGACTTAAATCATTTTGTGTTCATTCATTTTTTTATCTTTTATTTTATAATCTAATGCTTTTGATTGATTATAATGTCTTTTTCCTGGGTTTTTAATTGAATCTTATTTTTATGTTTCTTGTCAATCCTCTAACAGTCACTACTTACTGTGCAATACTTCTTTGAAGTTGTTTTTTTTTTCATTCTTTGAGAAGTGTGAAAATATGTTAATCATCGGTTGAGTCTTGATAAAACTTTGCAATATCTTTACATCCTTGTTCTAGTGGGTTTGTACTGTTAGCATCATTCTCTGGTCATGTGATTCATCAAGTCATTGGGCTCTCGTTCTGTTGAACTTGTGGTTTTATTTCTAGCTATTTTGTATATCCATCACTTGAATTCTACTGCTTTTAGTTTCATTTTTAAATTCTTTCCATTGAGTAATGTACAAGGCTTCACTTATTGAATACAATCATCTTAACAATATCTCTTATAACTTTAAATAGCTGGTTAGTCAACAATAGTTACTACCATTTGTGAATATAAGATTTGTATGCATACGGTAGATAAAATGTATCTTTACTTACTTTGTACTGTGGATATATTCACAGTAGATCATAGTATTTAAAAAAAATAATATTGATAGGTACTTATCCACGATTCATAGTAATTATCATTTTTCACTTAAGGCTATGTTAACTTTAATAAAAATTAAAAACTTAGAATTAATGCTAGTATATTTACTAACTCTAAGTTAATCATACATGTTTATAACTTTATTGGATCAGTTCTGTGTTACATCACTTATCAATACTGGTATTTGTCAGACTCTAGCTCTACTGGGTCAATATTCTGACACTGCAACTCAAGCTTCTCTCGGATGATATTTAGGTTCATTGGCAGCAAATATATTTTTCTTTCTCCTAATAAAACAATATGTGATTTTGAAATACACCACACAGACTCTAATTGATCAGGACTGGACAAAAAAAATTCTGCTGTTTGTTGTTTTTTTTTAGTTTAATTATTGTGCTTTTTGTCTGGGGCCTTCTTTTATTTTTGTGTTCTTTTTTTATATTTTAAAACGATTTTTCTATTTTTTAATATGCATAAACAAATAAATCATAATTTTTTGTTGTTATAATGATAATCGTTTTCAAATGAAATTGATCACACTGAACTTGCATCAATGTAAGACTTACAAACTTTGAATGTATATACTGTAGAGTGAACTCAAATATTTATTTGTTTGCAGTACTTTAAACAGCTCACAGATAATGTTCAACTCCACCAGAGATATTTTGAGCTTTCTTTATGAACTACCAATAATTGTAGTAACTTTTCTGTATCTCCCGCTAATGTAAACTATAACACAGCTTATGAATTTCAATTATCATGAACAAAAATTTTAATTTTTAACTGTTTCAGTTTGTCTTTATTCATATTAAAAAAAAAACTCTTCACATATCTTGATCTCATTAATATTCTTCTATGTTGTTCTATAATATCTAGATCAATGTCTTGAGGAGATTCTTGTTGCCTTGTTCAATCAGATATAATACTTAGGGTTCAAGGGCGCAGATCAAAGGTTGAAGCATGGGATTAAAAGGTTGGAGATGTTACAAATCTGTAAATACATTTTCTGCCAGTGAAAGCTGAAAACATGTCTGTCAGAAAGAAGGGGACATAACTCACACATGAAGGCACATAACTATCTTTTCACCCACACATAGGCACTAGATTTTTTTTAATTCAATACGCTTATTCTATAAACTGTATGGTTGCCTTGAGTTAGTAAAGATCGAAATTATCTACTGCTTCCTAGTTCGCTTTTTTTTTTTTTTTCTGTGGCAGCCAATTTTTTTTTTGACTTCTTAGTTGGCTGCATACTATACAAGTTTCCTAAAACATAGACATGCATATTATAAAACAAATCTAGAGTTGGTAGAGAGGTAAGCTGACAACTTGGAACTACTTTTTCAACCCTAGACTTAGTGGTGTGTGCTATTTTATTTTGAGAATGTATTTATTTGTTTCTTTTTGTGTCTTGTGTAACAAGTTGTAACAATGTTGACATTTTTTGTTTATGTGACTTAGTTATTGTTATAGTAAGTCTCATGTACTATTATAACCAAATGTAAACTACACAGGAAATAATTTTTAAAAAGAAAGCCATCACTTAACTACATTTGACTTTTGTTTCCTAAGCATTCTTGGTCCAATGAAGAAATTTTTGTAAAGGATGATATGAACTGTCTACAATCCATAAGTATCAGGGGTGCGATGGCTGAGTGGTACAGCATTTTAGCTGCAGAACAGAGGGTTTGAATCTTGGTGATGACTGGGATGTCAAATTTTGGGATTTTTAGTATGCCTCTGAGTCTCTGACAAAAAATGGGGAAGTAAGGAGGCTGGTCATTGTGTTGGCCACATGACTCCTCATAAACTGATGGCCATAAAAACAGATGACCTATACATCACAAGGTCTGAAATGGTTGTTTTATTTAAACTTTTCTTTTTGCATTCATATTACAGTGAAGTTTTTTTTTAAATATATTTCTACAGCAATAAAAAAGTATTAAAAAATTGAAAAATAAATTGTTTCCTGTGTGTTGTTGAAACAGTGCAAACAATTCAGTGATTGTATCTGCAATGTTTGTGTTCTATATCTAGTAATGGCTTTTAGGTGACGTTTGTTTTATTTCATTTGTATTTTTTTATTTCTTGAGTGATGTCTTACAAATATTGTTTCGTTTCATTGAATTGTTTGGTTTTAAATTTCTTAATACTTTGCGTATAGTCACTATGCTAAAACTTGTAGTCAAACTTCTGCTGCAATAGGTGATTGATGAATAAAACAAATTCTATGAAGTTTGTTTGTTTGTTTTATTGCATTATTTCCAGGCCTAGGCAATGTCTGCCCTAGATCAACTACCTAAAGTAGCTAGAGCTTAGAGTAGTTAGTTTATCCTTTTTGGTCATCGTCTAATGGATGTTATGTGCAAGGATAAGTTTAGGGTTAGGATGTTATTTAGTATATTGTGTTCTTATAAGGGAAAACAGATGTTAATTATGATGTCCTCAAAATTTCTTTATTTTTGCTTGTAAAACTTAAAAAAAATGTTTTGCCTAAAAGAGGTGTCTCCCGGAGGTCGTAAAGTGGGGGTTCAATTTTTGGCCTCGCTAGCATAGAGGAAAGCGTAGGACGTAATTATCTGCTTTTTTGAAGTAACGTCTGTAATATTGCAATGTATCTCCTAGCCAGGCTCTCTTCAAACTGCACCACACGACACAACGAACTTAAAGAACCTCACAACTCGGAGCTTCAAAGTAACACTAAGTTTAATTTGAAATACATCGTGATTGGCAATAACATTAACACTGTCTTTACAAAAACCTAGTCTCTGCTCCGCACTGACTTCACACACCGTGCTGGTTCTCGCCTCGTGCTGGTCACATTGCGAGGTAACGTGAAGTGAAGTCTTGAGTCTTAACACACTGGCAATTCTTTTATAGGGTGTCTACTGGCCTTCTAGAAACTCATGGAACGTTGCTTGACCACTCACTTTATTAGGCCTACATTCGCCGTGACTTACGTGCGTGATCTTTACGACACTGGTCCTTGCCGAATTGGCGTGTATTGTCACTAGTCAAGGTTGACCGCTCGTCCGGCGCTGGACTGGGGCTAGTTGGGTAGGCTAAAAACACACACAGAACTACTCCCATCTGTGTCACAAGGTTTAAAACAATATATAAGATGACACAAGATGGCCTCTGAAATAGTTGCAGAGTCCTCAGGAGAGTCTTGGACACACACATTTGAGATCGAAAGAGCCGTTGCTGATGACGAGCTCAGACGAGGAAAAGAAAATTTTAATAGACCCCCCGGCGGAAAACGGCTTTGTCCGCATTAGATGAGGCAAAGGAAGCAGATTGCCAGTGGGAATTCGAATATAATGCCATATATATTTATATGTGTGTGTATGAAGAGAATGTCCAAAATGTAGAGAAAATTAAAACTCTTAGGATTTTATGATAAACAGTGTTCCTCGAGGACTGAATAGGTGTCCCACGAACTACTGGAAAAAATAACTAGTAGGCCACCACGTGAATTTATCTCTCTAAAAAAGAATAAGCAAATTGTTCCGCTAAATACTCAGAAAGAAAAAAGTTTGGGAAACACTGAGGTAGAAAAACTGTTTAAAAAAAAAAAAACTAGCATCAGTCTTTTATACTGTCCTCACAGCGTACATTTCAAATAAAAGGGCAATATCCCACAAGGCAGCATCCCGTAGTCTACGTGCTTTCAATCTTATCATGTCTTAGCCAGCGTAGTCTTGTGCCCCAAGAGAGCATAGCTACTGTGTGTATTGGCAGATTCAAAAGTTACTGATTGAAAACACGATCCCTCCAGCCTACACATTATGAGCCGCAGGCAGCAGAAGTGAAAACTGTTATATGCTCTGTGTGAATGCTAGTTGACAAGCTCTCTCTACCATAAAAAGAAAAGCACATACAGATTCTTCCCAGCTGTTGATATAATTTTGTCAACGATGACAAACTGTTTTCGATTCTCAAACAATTCTTCGATTCCTGACGCATGGAACTTTTTTTTCAACGCTATTTTTACTTCACCAACTAGTAGCTTCGTATTGCAGTCAGATGGTGGTTTTAAGTCATGAAATCTTTGACGCTAGTCATCTACAATGTTAACAGGTTACCGTATGTTCCTTCAGCCATCGTATGGACATAATTTCATTTTTATTATGTTGGCCTATGCAAATAATCTTAATCACTGAGTTGATTAGCTGCAATATTTCTGGTTCTTTATTTCACAGCAGTACTGCTTACTGCGAGCGCACTATTCGATGGAGCCAACAATAGATAAGTAAATCTTATAGGCTAGTTCATGTCAAAAGGTTTGACACGTCTGCTTATCAACGGTAATAGGCCTACTAGTAAAATCCAACAGTTCATATGTCAAAATACTGACACGTCTGCTGCTCAACAATTGTTGTGAACTCCTGACATAGCATGGAACAATTAAGAACAGAAATCTAAATTTATTTTTACCCTGTGTACTTTTTGCATACACATACACATACCAAACACATACACATAGCAAATACATACAACCTTCTAAGTTTTCTTATCAAATGCCCACAATATGTAAAAGTGAACGGGCATGTGTCAGGCACGAGAGAGCTTAGCACTGGATCGACGCAGGGGTGCGTTCTGTCGCCAGTTTTGTATAACATCTACAGCAATGACATTCGGAGCTAATCATCTGATACTCCCATCATAAAAATTTGCTCACGACACAGCAATCATCGACATCATGCGGCTCTGGTGTGAATGTACACTTTGGTTTTTTATAGTTATAATGTTTTTTTGTTTGGTGTAATGTACAAATTGTAAGACAAATTTCCATACGGACAAGAAAGATTATTATTATTATTATTATTATTGCACGTCATGAAAATCTGTACCATTCAACAATTAACACTTTTTACCATCTTCGTTTTTGAAGTAACGTCTGTATTATATAAGATAAGATAAGGTGTATAGACAACTTTCTCATTTTAAATGTTAAAAAAATACTAAAGAAACGATAATCTATTTTAGGAAACATAAAGACTATTTTGAAGAAATTCAAATAAACAACCAAACCGTAGACCAAGTACAAGAATAGGTACAACTATCAACAACAAACTGAAATGAAGGGAACACTGTCAAAAACCTTACACCAAAATTCACCAACGACTCTTTTATCTTAGAAAGCTAAGAACATTTAAAATTGACAAAACAATACTTAAACTTTTCTATACAGCAACCATCAGCAGTCTAATTAATTTTGCCATCACCTTCTGGTATGGTAGGCTCTAATACTTCACTGACACAACGACTTAGACAATAATATACTTTAAAAGCGTCGTATATCACTCGAACACAGCTACCATCTCTTGAAGAACATTTTCATGAAAGATGCCTTTCCAAAACACAAAAGGCAACAAGCACCCATTATTTAAACCACTGTTACATCAGATCTGATCGAAGGGGTCGTCTCATTTCCAATAGGATTAAAACAGAAAGATTTAAAAACTCCTTTATCCCACTCTTGGTCAGAGTGTTACAAGATCATCTGTCGTCATCGAGAATTACATAATACACAAAGTGCTGTTTGTGACTGTGTATGTGTTTAATGTGTGAATGTTGTTCGTATTTGCATCTTTATTGTTATTGTTACAGTGGTTACGCTGAGGGTGATCAGTTGTTGTCAAACTGAATTTCCATTTGATTGGACCATCTTATCTTATACAGGGAAGCCATGCAAAGAAGCACTGGCTTTTCACAATTTGAGCTAATTTATGGATCGAATCCAAGGGGGCCGTTCCAAATATTGAAATCTCTACTCTACGAGAAGGATCTCCGTTGAAGATAGAAGAAATTCATGCAAGGCCATAGTTAATCTTAGAGACAGAATAATTCGAGTTTGTCATATCGCAAAAGAATCACTCGAAATAAGGAATACAAACAAGAGAAAGATTGAATAGAAATAGGTGACCAGGGACGTTTAAAGTTGGAGAAGTTTCTTTTTTGAAGTAACGTCGGTATTTTATAAGATAAGAAGTTCGTGTATTGCTACCTGATAAGAACAAAATGGAACTATCGTGGACACGGCCATTTAGAATCGTAAGGAAAATGAACAATATAGATTACGAGGTTGAAGTCAAAGGGAATAAGAAATCTTTCATATTAATAGCATATCACCATATCATTTGAGGCCCAGTGAACTGATCAATGACACTCATCACGTCGAAGCCATACATGTGGCTTTGATTTCTGAAAAAGACAATGATAGTGAGAATTTGCTGCCCACAGTCACAACGAATACAAAAAACTGGACATGTGTAAAAAAAATCGTTAAGGTATCAGAGGAGAAGAAAAATCAAATCAATTCTACATAAGTTTCAGGAAATAGTAACACTAATTACCCACGTACCAGGGGAAAATACTCTGAAAGACACAAAGATAAAGGCACATTCCTCATCCCATATGCTAGGACAAATTTGTACAAATACTCCTTCTTCCCTAGTGCTATTAGAGCATGGAATGGGTTGCCTGAGCTAGCCAGGAAAACCAGTGACTTGGCAGAATTTAAGTCATTGGTTAATATGCATGACTAAATGCATGACGCGTAGGACGTAATTATCTTCTTTTTTGAAGTAACGTCTGTATTATATAAAATAAGATAACACAAACGGTAGTTTAACCAAGAAAAATAATCCACAACAACTTACCACTGAATTACAGTACTTACAGAGAGGCGATTAGAAGGGAAATAGATGAATTTACAACTCTGGGGAATTATTGAAAGATCAAAATTGGAAAAGGCAAGATGTATTTTAGAACTTTTGCTGTTAAAACCAGATACACATGTTGCATTTGGAACCATAATAATGTTAAAGTACACGCCTTTAATTATGTCTAGTTTTAAGACTTAGTCTGAAGCAATTGGGTATTCAATTGGTGTGCTTTTTTTTGTGCGGTTCTGAGGTGACTTGTGAATTAAAACTTATCAATAATGTAGGCCTATTTTAATTTATTAACTGTACATAATGATGGCTCAAAATCAGCATACTTAATGAGGTACAACGCGTACCCTTTCCAAACTCTTGCCTTACCCCTGGGGGTACGTACCCCACTTTGGGAAACACTGTGCTAGAGTGAGTATGTGTACCTTGCTTTCTAGGCGGGATTTAAGCAACTCACATGTGCGTTCTATACGACCAAATTAGGGTCCATACTGCAGCTATTTAACACACTGGCAATGATGGCAGGCTTGCTTTGCCACATAACAGTTTTACCAA